CAGTGGAAAAAAAAACTGCGTAAGATTGACGTTCCTAGAATTCCCTGCGTTACATTTGATAGATAGATAGATAGATAGATAAAACAATTGCCTAGTTGCTAGTGTGTTGCTATATGGTTCCTTGGGTACTCGGGGTGGTTGCTAGGGTACCCGGGGCGGTTGCTAGGGTGTTTCTATGCGGTCGCTAGGGTATCCGGGGTGGTTGCTAAGGTGTTGATAGATAAAAAAAATTTGATTAAATGAGCACGTTTCACTAATCTATGACACAATGAATATAATATTATTAAATAATTTAACTTTCAATTGGGAGGTGGCTGTCCGGAACCCTAACCTATACATTTCAACTTATGAAAATATTGAAATAATTTTTTTTTTTTTAATTCTTTTATTTTTTATTCTTTTAAAAAGTGTCCAAGAATTGTTATATTTTCTTTGTAAATTATGAAACTTTATGTAAAAAAATGTGTCCCACATTTTCCATGACACTACCGAAACAGTGTATGTTTTAGTCCATTGGCCAAGACTGATTTTAACCACACCCCTAAATTTATGATCAGGAAATATTATATATATAATATATTATATAGTAGCTACAAGGTGTGAGTAGATAGGTCCCATCATTTTGAGGTAAATGTGTTCAAAAGCATAAAAACTCGTGTGTAACTTTAAGGAACGTCACTACCGAACACCTTTTTTCTGCACACGTTTTTGGGAGTTATCCCGTAACGTTTAGTTTTTATATGTGTACCACTGTTCAGAACTGTGCTAGCTAACCATGTGCCGATTAGCATCTTTGAGCTAGGTTCAAAAGTATCTAAAATTGTCACTACTGAAACATTTCGTGGCGTTTCGGTAGTGACGTCTTTGTTTCGGTAGTGACAATTCAATGGGATAACTCCCAAAAAAAACAGTCACGACTGAAACATGTCACCATTGTTTCAAAAGTGACAAAAGGGAACACATAATCCTCATATTTGGGGGAAATAAACAACATTTTACGTTTTAAATTTGAGTACAGTTATTGCAATTTGTTTGTGTGTATTAGTACGTTTTAGTAGTGTTTTAGTATGCATGTTAAAGTGATGTGGTCGCTACCAAAGCATTACTGTCATTACCGAAACATGGGATGTTTTGTCAAAAATAAAGCATACTGAATTATCAAGCTGTTATGATAGCGTTTGGTTCAATGCATATTCAAACTAATGAACCCTTAACTTTGAAATCAGTATGATCGACTTTATGCCTTTTACAAAGAAATCTGTGCTAGCTAACCATGTGCTGATCAGCATCTTTGAGCTAGGTTCAAAAGTATCTAAAATTGTCACTACTGAAACATTTGGTGGCGTTTCGGTAGTGACGTCTTTGTTTTTGTGGGAGTTATCCCATTGAATTGTCACGACTGAAACAGTCACGACTGAAACATGTCACCATTGTTTCGGTAGTGACAAAAGGGAACACATAATCCTCATATTTGGGGGAAATAAACACAATTTTAAGTTAATTAACTGTAAATTTTAGTACAGTTATTGCAATTTTTGTTTGTGTTTTAGTACGTTTTAGTAGTGTTTTAGTATGCAAGTTAAAGTGATGTGGTCACTACCAAAGCATTACTGTCATTACCGAAACATGGGATGTTTTGTCAAAAATAAAGCATGCTGAATTATCAAGATGTTATGATAGCTTTTGGTTCAATGCATATTCAAACTAATGAACCCTTAACTTTGTAAAAGGCATAAAGTCGATCATACTGATTTCAAAGAAATCTTTGTAAAAATCTCATAAATTACACTTGAAATATTGTTAAAAATGTAATTGTTATTGATTTACCTTTGAAAAATTGTAATAACATAGCAAATAAATATATTTACAATCTAGATGTAAGCAAAATCTTAGTAGGTCAATATAACGCTTGTAATTAAATTATTATTACTGTGTTTCGGTAGTGACAAATTTGGGGAGAGGACAAATATTCCAAAACTTATTGAAAATACAATATGAGAATTGATTGCACAATTACTAGACATGTGTACCTTGGATATTATACAATTTGCATACATACCATTTTTTTTACGGTAAAAATCTAGCAACCACAGCTGCTGGTTTTTTACCGTAAATTGTACAGATTTTTTTTTTCCCACAGTGCAGGAAAACCAATCTTTAATCAGTCAGAATCCACAGCTGGTGTTTCTCGGCGGTCAGACGGGTTAGTCATGACCTTCACCATCATCTACCGCAGATCAACATGAGGGGCTGTGGGACTCTGACCAGGTGTTTGCATTAGAAAAAGAGAGAGAGAGATACAGTAGATGATACACTACCAGTCACAGCTTTGATCACATAAATAAATTACAGTTTAACAGATATTCACATAGAAAACAGTTATTTTAAATAGTAAATATTTCACAATATTACTGTTTTTGCTGTACTCTGGATCAAATAAAAGCAGGCTTGGTGAGCAGAAGAGACTTCTTTAAAAACATTAAAAATCTTACTGTTCAAAAACTTGTGACTGGTAATGTACATCGAGATGGAGAGTGAGACTTCAGATTCATTAGCTGCTACAGGAATATAACGAGAAGAACAACAAAGTGCAGTAAATGCTAAAACTGTCTGCGCCATAAACCAGTGTGTACTAAAATAACATGATAACAAACACCAGTTTACAATGTCAAGCGGCTGTTTGTGTACAGCTGAAATAAGTGGAAGCCTTAAACACACAAACCGCTGCGTTCCTCTGCACTCTACCAGAACTCAACACGTCACAAAGGGATTATGGGTAATTTTATCCACACACTCCGCTACGATCCGTGTCTCAGGGCTCGTCCTGCAGGAACCACACCTCGTTACGCCGGCCGTACGGTTTGATCGGAGGGTCGTAGATGCAGCAGAGGTACTGTTTGCGATGGAAGGGGGCGGAGTCTCCCAGCGTACACATCAGTCGCAACGCTTCTGCGCGAAACTCGCTCTCGCCCGCGAAACCACCGAACCGCCTGCAGGGGGAGACAGACGTCACTCAGTGCCCTCGCTGCTAGAGAGGAGGAGTTAAAGGGATAGTTCACCCAGAAATGAAAGTTCTGTCATTAACTACTCACGCTCATGTCGTTCCAAACCCATAAGACCTTCGTTCATCTTCAGAACACAAATTAAGATATTTTTGATGAAATCCAAGAGCTCTCTGACCCTCCATAGACAGCAACGCAACTGTAATGTTCTCAGACCCAGAAACGTAAAACAGTCCACGTGACATCAGTGGCTCAACTTCAGTTTTGCGAAGCTACGAGAATACTTTTTGAGCGCTAAGAAAACAAAAATAACGACTTTATTCAACAATTCTTCTCCCCCGAGTTACTGTCTTCCGCCATTTTGGAGAGTACCACGATGTATATGCACGCTTTCTCCAGAGCGTAATCAATGTAATCAGCGTTGTTACGTTTCTGGACCTGGGAACATTTCAGTTATATTGCTGTCTAGGGGAGGGTCAGAGAGCTCTCGGATTTCATCAAAATATCTTAATGTGTGTTCTGAAGATGAACGGAGGTCTTACGGGTGTGGAACGACATGAGGGTGAGTAATTAATGACAGAACTTTAATTTTTTGGGCGGACTATCCCTTTAAGGCCCGTTCACACCAATGACAATAACTATAAAGATAACGATAAAGATATGTGAGCCGTGCTGGCTAAATGAGTGTGAATGCGCACGGTCTAATTTTGACTTACTGGCAAAAGAAGTGAAAAATGTCAGTTTTTGTCGAATTTGAGGTTTTCACAAAAACAAGTTCATTAAGCCCTCTTCTAGTGATCCAAATGCTCCAAATAGTAATTAACCATCTAAAATTATCTTTATTTGTACATTTTCTGAGAGGAGTATGTTTTCAAACCCATGCTGATGAAAACAAAACAATCGCGCTGACTGATATTTGCAAAGCGCGTACATAAGACAAATCTCCCTATAAAGTACATTATTGTGAAATATGTCTTGGCGAGATTCACACAAACATAATCTGTTATGTCTTGCATGAACGTTTAGGCACAGAGAAACGATATCGTTGGAATCACTTTCAGAACGATTTTTTTTTCCCAGCTGATGAACGATACAAACATTGACAGTCAATCAGAATCCATCCTGCTGTAAAGAGCTCAAGAAAATTTAAAGCAGCAGACGAGCGTATGCTTAGAATAAACAGACGATATCGTCCACTGGTGTGGATGCTAATATACTTATCTTTATAATTATCTGTCTGTTTTCGGTGCTCTGATTGGCTGTGTATCTGTTTGCAGCGCTCTGGTTGGCTGTGTATCTGTTTGCAGCGCTCTGATTGGCTGTGATTGGCTGCATGTCTGTCTGCAGTGTTCTGATTGGCTTTATAGTTATCTTTATAGTTATCGCTCTTGGTGTGAGCGGGGCTTTACTGTGCGTTGACGTACAGGACGTATACGGTCATGCCGGGCCGCTCCTCGATGCGAATGGATGAGTCGGTCGGGGTGGGGGGGGCGATCTGGAAGGATGATGGGATGCGCAGAGCGGCGACCAGGCGGCGGTTTAACGAGCCGTCGTCACGCGGAAACACGGTGAAGATGATGGGGACGGGCGTGTTCATCACCTCAC